GCCGTGCAGCACCTGCCTGCCCCCTCCACCGTGCAGCGCCCGCCTGCCCCCTCCGTCGTGCAGCACCTGCCTGCCCCCTCCACCGTGCAGCGCCCGCCTGCCCTCTCCTCCGTGCAGCGCCCGCCTGCCCTCTCCTCCGTGCAGCGTCCGCCTGCCCTCTTGCCATGCGCGTTTCTCCAAAGCTGGTCAGGGCTTTGACAGCTCAGATATTCAGTTGTTAGGAGAGAGGAAAGACTATCTGAGAACTCTCTGACCACGATCGGAACACGTTTAGACTGCACACACTCAGGGATGAGACTCACTGATAGAAACCCGCAGCATGGCATACGTTGTAAGTGTCCGAGTCTTTGCTGGAGGCAGGAAGGGGAGGCCTGGAGGCCAGGGTCTCCAGACGGGCTTCAGGGAAGATCTTCCCCGTCTTCAGGAGATCTGCAAAACTTCCACAGAAGAATGGCAGTACCATTTGCCTCCTTCCTTCCCTCTTGTTCCTAAGGTCCTAAGGGTTTGTGTTGCCAAGTAGCCTCCTGGGGGACCAGGGGCTCACCGTTAGTGTCTAGCCCTAGACCATGTGTGCCTTGCTGCCTCCTCCTGTGCGTAGGTCTGGAACATGCCCGAAGGAAACATTTAATACATGTTCTGAATGAAGTGGGAAGAGGGAGGTGACTCAGGACCTCATCTAGTCCTACAATAACTGAAGTATAAACGGAGGGGCAAACTAGTCATAGCAAGTGGCAAGAGTTTGCGCTCCTGTGCACGTCCATCCATACCCAGGTCCCTCCCCTCAAAGGTTCCAGTCCAGACCAGAGGTTTATTGCCGTTTGTAAGTGCTGAGTGATCATGTGTACAGAGGTGATCAAGTGTCTTAGACAAGGCTTTTCATGTACCAAAACATAGTAAATCCAAAAACACTTACTAAGCCCTTCCTTGAGTGAAGCATTGCTGTGGAGCCACAGGGAGAAGAGACCTCATGTGTGTCCTTGGGAAGGAAGCATAGGATTCATTTCCCTCCATTGCTGGCAGTGAGCCGTCCAAAATGCATTCCACCGTGCCACAGTGACAATGCTGACCGCTGTGTTCACTCTGCAGGCTCTGGGGAGGATGCCTTTCCTAGCTTTTGTCAACTTCTAGGGAGTTCCATGTTCCTTGGTTCGTGGTCTTCCGTCTTCAAAGCAATACCGCCCCATCTCCTCTCCCCTGACTCCATTGGACTCACTGGGGTGATCCCCTCCATTCCGTACTCTTACCTGCAAAGTCCCTTTTGTTAAATAAGGTTCCTGTTCACGAGTCTCAAAGATTAGGATGGAAGCATCTTTAGGGGTCAGTGCTTTTCCTGCTACAGAAGGTAACAAATGCCCTTACCACCTCATGAGTGCCAAGAAAGGGCATGCAAAGGGCACGTTCATTCTCTCGGTGCCTCATAGCTGACGTTGACAACCAGGTGAATCGGGAACTCAGGACTACTGCTGCCTTTACGCCTGCCGTGTCCCTCGTAAAGCCAGGGGTGGTGTGCCCTTGCACAGGACCCTGAGATGGTCTTCTGCCCAACGTCTGTGTGGCCTGGTCGCTATGCCCTTCCCAGAACAAGGCAAATTGATCTGAAGCCAGTCCCCTCGGGAGAATTCATCATTCTCTTCCTCGCCGGGACTAGACACACAGGTGAAGAAAACCACCTCTGCGCATCACCTCTGCAGGCCCACGCTGGTGAGAAACTCTGTCAAGTAGGTCAGGGCAGTGGCTGCATGTGTAAACGGACCCTGGCTGTGGCCCTGGCTTTTCCTCCTTAGTTACACCAAAGGGTCACTGGTCACAGGGATGTGAGTGAGCAAGACACTGCCTTAGGAAAATGAAAATAAAAGATTGTCAGCTGTGGACAGGAAGACACTGTGTGGGGAATCCCTTCATGGGTACCTCCCAGGCTCCTTCCGTGAATGCCATAGCCATGAGGAATCTGGGTTTTACGTTGAGTGGGGCATTAATTGACTAACTCGTATCCTGGAGGTGAGGTGCTGGTGAACAGTGGAGTATAAAGAGTGTTGTCTCTGAGACTCAGTGAATGGAGCGCAGAGCAGTTAGCACATCGCTGTAGATCATGGAAACTTCACACCTGGTGAGAAGCCGGCTGTGGGCTTGGGAAAACAGCCACCTGGCAGCTGAGACTGCCCGATACTGTGTGGGGAGTGGCCCGGGCGCTTCCTTATCCTCCCCTCTCCCGGTTCTGAGGTGCAGAGCAGAACCCTGAATGCTACAGCAGCTGTGGTTGTATGCTTCTCTTCTGTGAATGCCACAAAAGGGGGTGTTTGGAACAAGGCTTCAAAATGGCCACTTCTCTCTGTGGTGGCTCTCATTCGCTCCACTTGTCCCTGGGCCCAAGATACCTTGGCCTTCCACTTTTGTGAATTTCTTGTCTACTTCCCTCTCTTCCTGGCTGTCCATTATCAAAGCCTGTGGCCCATCCCCCAAGATAGACTGGGCCAAACTGAGGGACTCCTAGAAATTCCCTCAAGGTCATGGTTGCTGATATTTGTGACAAGAAGTGTCCCCGACCCTCAGTGGTTCACACTTCTGGGACTTGGATCTGTATTTCTCTCTGGACAGCATTAGGCTGAGTCTACATACCCTGATGAAGCCACAGAGTAGCTGTGCCACACTGAAAGCTGGCTTAGAAGTGGGCCAGATTTGGCCAGGCACCCAAAGACGTCAGACTGAGAAAGAATTTTGAGTCAGACGAGGGTGGGAGCCATGCCAGCCTCGGGAGCCTTAAATGTCACAAACTGACAAATGAGTTGGGCAATGTGATGTGGTGAGCGTTGTCAGGCGGTTGTCAAACCTTGCGTGTTCGTAGACACTACTGGTGACAGTTCACACACAGTTTAGAAACTGATTATGACACTAATTTGTTCGGTTCTTGCTAATGGCACTGTTTTTCAGATGGGAACTCTCTTTGTTTAAGGGTTGGGACAGACCAACTGTAGAGTCCTGAGATCTCAATTCCAGTAACTACTGTGGGGAAATCTGCATGACACATGAGTGTTGGAGTTGACCTTGACACGGATGGGATCTCAAGTCTCTGATGCCTCTCCTGTCCTTCATGTCACTTATTCCATTCATGTGTGTCCTCTGCCTCAAACGACCTGACCCTGAGACCCAGGATCCCAACCTCAACCTCAGCACAATTGGCATTGGGCCTCCTTGCTGTAGTGTTGGGTGGGGTTGGGCTGGGCCCTGAAGGATGTTGGGCAAGATCCCTGGCTTTGCCCACTGGATGCAAGACCACCTACCACTCCGATGTCCTGGCGAGGACTACTGCTTGATCACATCTTTACGTTCGTTATGTGCATCTGAGTGAGCATGTGCCGAGCAGGTGCCATGGCCTGTGTCAGGGGTCAGTTCTCTCCTACCTTGCACCTGTTACCCACCAAGTTCTTCTGGGACTGGGACTTGTGTAACCCAGACTGGAATCAGACTCGGTACGTAGCTGAGGTTGACCTTGAACTTCTGACCCTCCTGCCTCTACCTCCTGAGTGTTAGGATTACAGGGACTGAACCTAGAGCTTTTTGCAGGCTAGGAAAGCTCTCTACCGACTGAGCCACGTCCCCAGCTCAAGCCACTTGAGTTTTGAGGCCTACCTGGTGTTTGTAGTCATTTCTTCACCCATGTTTTGGGGGGCTCTGCTTTGAGAGTGTGACTTAAACAATTGGGGGGCTAGGGGGTAGCACAGTGCCCTCTGATGCTCCCTTAGCCAAACTGACTTTGAACTAGAAAGCACGTCAGAGGGTGTCTGGATTTGAACCGGTGACCTCTTGATCTTCAGTCAAAGGCTCCACCACTGAGTCCACTATAGTCCCTCTTGCTTACTTTTTGGTCTAGGTTAGGTCTAGTCCTCTCTCCTCACTGAGACATGGTTATATTCTTTGCTCTTTGCTCTCACTTGGTGTTCTGTGGCCGCCCCCTCCCCTCCCAGGGCCTCTTATTTATAAGATTAGTCCCGCCTGGATGTTCTCACTGCTTCTCTTTTTATTTTCCCCTCCTATTCCACCAGATCAGTAAAAGTCCCTCAGCTGACTTAAGAATAAAATTTAAATCCCAGGAAAGAAAGTCCCTGTGCGTAACAGGAAGGGACCAGTGGAGAGGCTTGGGGCACAGAGGAGAATGGGGGTGGAGCATAGATTTGAGCAAAGAACATGGCACACGTGATGATGAAATCCATCGTTTTACACAATGCTTATGTGTGGAAAGAGACTGGGGGTGCTTTCTGAGACACACACCCCCCCCCCCGGAGGTGGCGGGTGAAGGGCCTTTGCAGTCGGACTCTGACGACTTCCAGAGCAGTGGTCTGGGGAAACAGTGGCACCTCAGGGTAGAGTCAGGCTTAGACTCTCTCCTGAGCCCAGAGACAAAGCTCAGAAGCTCCGGGCATCTTGCTGCAGCCTCAGGAACTATAGAAAGGCGGTTTGGAGTATGGAATCCAGTGAAAATTGAAAATCCAGTGAAATAGCTCACTGGAACTATTCATTTCTGCCATCTGCCTTGTGCACAGGTGCAAGACGTTGGATCTGGATGCCGAGACTCCAACTGGTTAGAGGTTAGAGGTCACAGAAACTAGAGGTAGCTGCAAGGAGGGCCATCACACTGTCCCAGGACAGCCTACAGGAAGGGGAGAGAATTCTGGAGAGGCCTTCCTGCAGTCCCTCTTGGTAACCTGGAAGGGAGAAAGGTTTCTAGAGATGAGGAGGAAACAGATGGCATGGCTGAGTGGTTGTTAGCACATGGATTGGACCACACATTCTAGTTCAGAAGAGGACTTCAGGAGCTCCTGGGCCTCGGCATCTCCGATCTTTAGGGAGAGCATAACTTACTGTAGGTGAGATCCAATAGTGTACGTCTGAATGGAACTCAGAATGAGAAATGTGAGACCTATAAGCGCTGTGATCAGGGAAGCCTTCCTGGAGGTGGTGAGCCCATGCTAGGCTCACAGAGAAAAGGAAAGCAGTCGGGTTGAGGGGAGCTACACAGGCCAAGCCAAGGGTGTGCGTGTGTCTTAGGGGCTCTAAGCAGAGTTCTTAACTGATGTTTATTAAAAACGATTAGTAATTGAGAAGGTGTGGTGGGGGATGGGGTGGGGTCCTCAGCACAGCAAGTGCCCAGTATGCTTGAGTCACAGTCTGACCAACAAATCGAGGGAGGTGTGAGTGGAAATGATGGCTCAGCCCGGAGGGGACCACTGATGATGAGCTGTAGAGTACCGGGGGCCGTAGACTTTATCAATGGCCTGGATTAAGGGGGAGAAGTGCAAGCCAGGTTCCTGGATGGCACAGGCTGTGTGACAGTACCTATCTATGAAGTGACACCGTGGAGATTCAGAGTGAAGAGAGGGATTCAGTGGCCGGGGGAAGCCCTGTCCTCAGTCCCTCATAGTCACTCAGCTGGTGCTCCTGGAGCGTGGCTCTCTGCACACTCAGGGAAGTCTCCAGTGGCTCCAGGTCCAGCACGGAGAAGGACAATCCATGCATCAGTTCCTGTGTGCTCCTAAGCCACACACTGCATTTTGAGAGTATCAACTCAGCGAGTCCAGCAGCTTGGAGTGTGTGCCAGGGATGGCGGCCAGGAGGGCAGAGAGGCTAGTGGTCCTGCACAAGGAACTCAGAGGACTTGAGACATCTAGGCTCAGAGAACATCTAAGGGGGAGGGATGAGGCTGTCGCCTATCATTTCAAGAACTGAGGTTGCAAGGTACTGAATTCATTCTGTGTGGCTCCATTAGGTAGGAGCCCAGCTCAATGGGCGGATGTGGAGGAGTTTTCGATCACTACAAAGAGGATAGAGTATCTCAGAAATGGCAGGGACTGTCCCTTGAAGGTGGTGCCCAGCCCGAGATGGATGTGTGAGCTAGCCCTGCATATGAGAAGTTCCTCCACAGTTTGGGGGAGATGATGTGGAGCTCTTTGCTCCCCTCCAGTTCTGAGCCTCTACACCCTGATGCAGTAGAAACAGCAGATGAGTGCAGGAAGGGGCAGCATGTGTCCGTGCATTTATTAGTGCAGCCAAAGACATGCATTCATGCATTTATTAGTGCAGCCAAAGACATGCATTCATGCATTTATTAGTGCAGCCAAAGGCATGCATTCATGTATTTATTAGTGCAGCCAAAGGCATGCTGTGTCAGGTATTATTTTTGGTATTGGGGTGGCCATGAACCCACCAGAGACCTTCAAAAAGAAGGTCAGTGTTGGGGATGAGAGCTGATGCAAATGGGTAGGAGGGAGCACTTTGGAGTGATGGGGATGTCCTGTGTATTAGCACACGTGTGTGTATGTATAGTTCTGTTACTCCCTGAATTACAGACACTTAATATAGACACGTTTCATGTAAATTATACTCCAGTAATATTGATTAAAAAAGGAAAGCTGTACTATTAGGACCATTTTATTCTTGTGGGGAGACAGATCTAAATCCAGTAAACATGAGGGTGACCCAACACCATGGTACACATCTGAAACCCTAGTACATGGGAGCTAGACAGGAAGACCACAAGCTTGAAGCTAGCCTGAGACACGGTAAGTACCAGGCTAGCCTGGGATACATAGTGAGACCTGTCTCAAAATAAAACAAACGTGAAGACTCTCGCCCAGGCTGGCCTTGAATTCTTGACCCTCCTAACTCTGCTGCCCAAAGGCTGGGACCGCGGCCATGCACTTCCACACCCGTCTACCTGTCCTCTCTCTTGAACAGGAGCATGAGTGCCTGGAGCAGGAGAATGCCGTGCTGCGCAGGGAGATTTCAAAGCTGAAGGAGGAGCTGCTGCATCTGAGCGAGGCTCTGAAGGAGCATGAGAAGATGTGCCCGCTGCTGTGCCCTATGAACTTTGTGCAGCTTCGGCCAGACCCTGTGGCCAGCTGTCTGCCACGATGACATCTTGGCTCGCTCCCCTTTTGTCCAGCTCAGAACCTTGGTTTGCACACCCAAGAGTTTCCCTGCACACCTGTGTCCAGAGGTACCTGTGGCTGTGCCCCTTCTAGGAGCTCTGGGGCCAGCCTGGGCTCAGCATGTGCTCTGAGGGCATCTGCCCTAGAGCAGTGGATCCAGAAGGCCGCCCATAGGGAGGCTGCCCTTTGGAGTCACTCCTCACCCCACTTTGGCAGCTAGCCGGTCCTGTCCTTAGGCAGGACCTTTCGTCTAGAATTTGGATAATAAAGATAGTTACCACGTTTCCTTTGTGCAGCTTCTTGGGATGGAGAGCACACAGAGCCGCTTCTCTGGGAAGGTCATCTTGCTGCAGGTAGGTCCTCTCCTGTTCAGCTCCCCTGCAGCCACATGCAAAGCATGTGGGGAAGCACCCTTGGCTATGGCAGAGCATAAGGCTTCCAATAAGTCTCTGACCCAGTTTGGTCCCAGTGGGTGAGCTGGCTGTGACTCACACCTGTTTCATGTGTTACCCAGCCTTCTCTCTGGCCCAGCTTACCTCATTTCAGCAGTAGAATTCTGTTATTGTTTTTATTTTTTTGAGACAAGATCTTACTCTGTTGCCAGGCTGGCTCAGAACTCAAGAAATCCCCCTGTGGTAACCTTTTAAGCTCTGGGATTACATCACAATGGTGGCATGCTTTTTTTTCTTTCCTTCTTTTCAAAAAATGATGATTTTTATTTTATGTATATGTCTGGGTGCATGTCTGTGCACACCCAGAAACCAGCACTGTGACATGTTAATAGCAGGAATCCTCAGAGGCCAGAGCAAGGTGTTGGATCCCTGCAACAGGAGTAACAGGCAGTTGTGAGCCACTGTGTGAGTTCTGGGAACCAAACGGGTCCTCTGCAAGAATAGCCGGTGCTGTTAACTGCCAAGCCCTCTCTCCAGCCCTGACAATTGTCCTGGTTGGGCCTCCCAACTGCTGAGCTTGCACATTTTTGTTTTGCTTTTTGTTTTTTCAAGGCAGGGTTTCTCTGTGTAGCTTTGGTGCCTTTCCTGGAACTCACTCTGTAGCCCAGGCTGGCCTCGAACTCACAAGAGATCTTTTGTGATCTTCTCTGTACAGTCCTGGCTGTCCTAGAACTTGCCCTGTAGACCAGGCTGGCCTCGAACTCACAAAGATCCACCTGCCTCTGCCTCTGCCTCTGCCTCTCAGTGCTGGGATTCAAGGTGGGTGCCACCACCGCCCGGCAAGGATGGGAACAAGAAGTGGGGCAGAAAGGAAAGGACTTGGTTGTAAGTGTGGATGCCAAAGAAGGAAAATGGGAAGCGAGGCTGTGCTGGTGAGATCACGCAGCCAGGGAAGGGCTTGCCATGTGAGCCCGGGGACCTGAGTTCCAATCCTCAGCATCTGTGTGAATGGGAAAAGCCAGGTACCCGTGGAGCACACCTGTGACCCCAGCACTGCTGAATGGCAGGTGGGTCTCTGGAGCTCAGTGGCAGCAGGCTAGCAGCCTGGCTCAATCAGTGAGTCCTGGGTTTAGTGGAAAACACTGTGTGGGGGGCAGGGAAGAAAGTGAACGAATCACAAATGGGGGAGGAGTGGTGAGCAGTGGGGGGAGACATCCAGTGCTGACCTCTGCCCTATACATGCATGAAAGCACATGTACACAGGTACCATACACACACTAAAACAATAAAAGTAGGAGAGAAAGAGGAAAGAGAATAGGTTGATGGTGGCCCTTCCTAGGCAAAGGGCTTGATATTGGCTGCTCCTGCAATCTCCCCTGTCCTGGAAGGCACCCCGCACCTCACTGGTCTCTAACCAGTGCAAGGTCTAAAGTTGCACAACTCCTTTATGAGGCCTAAGAAGGCTAGTGTTAGAAGACAGGGTTTATGTCTGCTGGGAGAACCACAGAACGGTGTGTTTTTAAGTGCAAGAGATGTTAAAGTCATTTTTGTCTACCTTTTAGTTTGCAGATGAGGGTCTTGGGCACAAGAAGAGGAAGTCACTAGTTCAAGAGTGCTCCCTGTTGGGTG